ACGGATACATAGACTTCCTAATTATGAACAATATGTTTGCATACAATGAGATCCTTGGAAGTCCCGCTTTGAAACAGTTAGAAGTTGTGACACTATCTACCACCTATGTTTAAAATTTAAAACTTTAGAAACGATATACATGGTCAAGGGCGATCAAGCCGTCGTGCATGAGTGCTAGCTCAACGCCTGAAGGAAAGTAACCCTAGAGGTTTCGCTAATCAATACCATCCTAACAATTGAAGGAAACATGCTTGAAAAACCTCTTTCAGGAAAAGTAAATATCCAATGCTATGAAAGATAGGTTGAAAAACCTATCAAAGATAGTTTTGCAAGTACTAAGGAAAGTATGAATGAGAAATTGGTGAAACAAAGTTGAGCTTGGAATACCATCGCATCAACTTTGTGAAAAGAAAAAGGTGTAACTTGAGCCTCTTTCCGCCTATCACGGACCTCAAATTACTGTTGAGGTTAATCCTGCTAATGTTTCCATCATTGAAGGCAAGATTCTTTCTGCTAAAGGATTTATGTTTGAAAGTGAGCCTCTATTCGCAAACAAAGCTATACTAGAGGATGAGGTTTATCCCCCCAATGAAAAAGTGTAACGGTTAAAGTTACTCCACCAAGAGAAGTTGGATTGAAATCCATCCCATCACAATCAAAAATTATAAAGGGCAAGCCTATGGTTGTCCTTAATTAGAAATTGTCATGACAAAAAACTTAGTGTAGCTACACGAAAAAAGTACTCATGAATAAAAATAACGATAATGTTTATTTCAATGTTATATGGTTTATATTTTACGAGTTATGTTATGAAATTATTTACAATTATGTAAAATGTGGCTGCCAATTGGAGCAAACAAACAAACATGTGAAAACGTACTAGAATGCGATATCAAAATAAGTAAATAATGTAACTCGAACTCATACATAAACAAAAAATAGAAAAACAATAAGAGAACCCAATGGCGCTAAATACATTCCTCCAAATTTAATAAAGGCTAAAAAGGTCATCAATTGCTATGAGCGTCAACAGGCTCAATTATAGTAACAACCTTACATAGAGGAATAATATCAAAATTCGTGAGCTGAAAAACTCAATGGAAAGGAAAAAAATAGGCGAAGCCGCAGAGGCTAACAGAGTAACTTCGAAAGACTAAGTGTCAATGACATCCTGTTTGTGAACCTCTAAGAAATCCATGTCCCATTCAAGATGAAATAACCTGATAATATCAATAACTCCTTTTCTCACTACCTGCATTGATTCTTCAAAAAATTTGGCTTTATAAACCTTTCTTTTAGCAACTGCAGACTCTGAAATAGAAATTCTAACCTCACTACCTTCTAACTTTTGACGGAGTAAGATCACTTTATCCCGCACCTAGGTACTATCTTTTATTGTAAGAAAATAATTAATTTTAGTCGTTTGGAGCTCCTCCTTCAACTTGGTAATTTCATAGTCTATCTGTTAAGAATAAGCTCAATTATCTAACCAACTCTGCATCAAAGCTGACGCAAACCTCCTGATATCGACTAAAAGAGCAACTCCTGCCTTATCATAATCCTTGATGCTTCAACACAATTTCTTGTATAATGATTTTTCCTTCTCAGTCACATCTAATTTCATTGACATTCTTCATTTAAGGCTCAGGTTTTCCTATTCAAATTACTGATTCGACTAAATACAAGGCTTGATAAGTGTATTTTTGCACACTTATTGGACACTTAGTTTGATATAATTATTGATTAAATGAATGAAATTCTATTCACAATTGTGTAATATTCGCTTTTGTAGGCTGCAAATCACTCAAGTAAAAAGAACAAGGCAAACGAAAGAAAAATGGACTAAAAGCGTACAACATTTGTGACTTTGGGCCAAGGAAAACAAGTCAAAAAGTGAAGGACCTTGGGGTGCAATCTATGGAGGGCATAATTGAAAGAAAAGTCAAAATCTAGGGACCAAATTGTACAAGATCAAAGTTGAGGGACCTGATGCGCAATTATCCTACGGACTGAGCTGCAAATTGACCAAAATTCTGTATTTTGGTTGCTGGACAGATTCTTGGGCGCTGCAGCGTTTTTTTTTTATTTAAAAAGAATCTTGGAGACCATTTTGTCTTATTTTCGAAACTTCAAGGACCAAAGCTGCAATTTTCCTTAGGTTTTAATGTTAAAAACAGCAACTGGGCAGGATTCAGACGGCTTCATTATTCTGGGACGTAGCTTCTGCCGGGGATGATTCTGCTTCTTCTTTTTATTTTTATTTTGTTTTCATTTTCGTTTCCTTTTCTTTTTCTTTTTTTTTTCTTGGTTATTTTGGAGACACAACATAGACCTCAAGGAGTTAGCAAAGGATTTGGCAAAGCATTGGGGAAAATCATAGCCAATCTACAAAAATGGGTTTTTT